TTTAAGTGCTGGGTAGTGAAGGGGTCCACAGGAGGCTAGAGATAAGAGAAGGACCAGGGTAGCCCGGGAAGCCAGCCATGGGGAGGGGTTCTTGAGGAACTCAGAACAGATGAAAGTATTTTCATATTTAAGAAGTGCCAAGGCACTACTGGCCCTATAGCTGAAGATCAGCTGTGTCCTCATCTCATTCCCCATCAACACACTGGGGAGAATAGAAAAATGAGCAGAATCCTATATGCGGAGAGTGTGATTTTAGTGGATTGAAATAGAGTCGCCTGAGCAGAACGAGCTCATTAGCATTTCTGGGGACAGTTCACCAGTAGCTCTCCGCACACCAGGACCCAAGGTGTTGGTGGGGCAAGCTGTCACTTGAGGGCTGGGGACGATGGCCCCGTAGGCAAAAGCCTCACCTGCATCATCTCCAGCCTTTCCTACTTCCAGAACTGCCCTCTTTTCAGCACTGAGGGAAGGACAGTAAACATCACCGCCTGTGGGTCCCCTAAGAATGGCCCCACCCTGGTCCCCAGCTCACAGCAAATTCCATTCATCGTCTTCATTGTATTCTAAACCTAAAGAAAACAAGGCATCATGCCCAGCAGCTCGTCCATAAAACATTAATCACTATTCCCCCTCCTTGAGAGGCTACTGACCAGTGAAGGTGTGACCTCCAGGAGAGATGGAAAAATCCTAATGGGTCAGCACGTGGCTAGGCCACCTCAAGGACAGGGCCCCCTGTTCCTCCAGTGCTTTTCCAGACCAGTTCCTGGCTTTGGGTCTTGGAATTCTGAGGACTGGCCTTGGAACCCCCAAAGAGAAAGAACCCTCCCTGCATCTATCAGTTCTCCCAAAAGGCACCATGGTCCTTGGGGCCAAGTGGCAAATGACTGCCTTGAGACAGTCACATCCTTTCATTTGGACCTTCTTTGAGCCCATGTGAGTTTTTGAGATGGATACTGACATTGGGATCACAACCAGAGTTATAGGCCACCAGCCCCACTGAGGCTTCACTGCACGTGTGTCCAACCAGTTGCTCCTGACCCCAATTCAGGGTAGCTTCAGAGATCCATTCTTCTCCCCTGGACGACTCAGCACCTCTCCAGGGTCTGGGAGGAGGAATCCCTTTGATCCTGGAGGGGAAAGGGAACTATCAAAATGGAACAATGGGTCTACAAGGATCCCAGATTCCTGCATATTTGGAAACCCAGCACGGACTGACCCAGTCATGTGTGTGTGGAGTACAGGCAACCTCAGGTTGATCTGAGCATTCATCACAGGCCTCTGGAAGACATTCCCTCCGAAGGCCTTTGGAAAAATCCTGCAATCTGGGCCAGGGATCCTTGGTCTCAGAACCAGGGGGGTGAGTGTGGAACCACAATGTTTTGCTCTTGTGAGTTTAATGAAGGGACAGATATTCTAGGATTCAATGGCCGATAGATTGCACCCTGCTTCCTCCTGGGCCAAGTGCAGACGGCACAGCCTTCCAGGCCCACTGAGCCACCTCCATGTGCAAATCTCCTCTAGACCACGGGGGAGTCCCAGCAGACAGCCAGCTGAAGGGGTGTGATAGATGATCCCCACAAGAGCACTTCACGTGGGTGCTCACTTGAATGCTCAGCAGCTGACAAAGTCTGAGTCATGGAATCTTCCAGGAAATGTACTCTCTCTGTTAAAGTTAGATGAAGAAAATAGACACGGACTCTGGTTGCTCTCCCAGTCTTGCTCTAGCTCCAGTTTTTCCTACAAAACTTCTTCTCTGTGCTGGGCTGGACAAAACGCAGGCAGAGCAGAGTGGGGGCTGACCTTTGGGAGTTGAGTGTCTGAAGTTCTGAACCCGTGGGCCAGAAGATGAGAGGACACCTGGGGCAGCCTCACCCTGAAGTCTTTGCCCCCGGGCCCGGAAGGGCATCTGAGGCTTCTTCGTTGGGCATTATTTTCCCTCAGAGTGCAACATTGCCCTTCCCCTTCCCATATAGTCTTGTGGGAGGGGGCAACCTCTGGATAAGCAAGTTTAGCAGACATTTCCCTCCAGAGAAAGGGGCAGTCAGGCCTAGAGGGCTCCAGGGAAGCTGGGGTGGGGTCAATGCCGGGGGAGATGCCAGGGGTCTGGTGGTGATGAAGTGTCAGAAGCAGACACCAAGGCTAGGTGGCCTCAGAGTGAGCTGCACTCCTCTCAGTGCTGGAGTTCCTTCAGCCTGCCATTGTCCTTCCCGCTTCTGCCTCTCAACACCCTCCAGGCAGAGGAAGACAGGCTAGCTGGCTGGCCTAGAACCAAACTTCATGGAGTTCTTGACAAAACAGACCAGCACCTCATGGTGGGAGGAGCCTAATCTTTGAAGCCAGGCAAAGAAGGTTCAAATCCCAATTTTGCCACCAACCTGTTGTGTGGCCTTGGGTCAATCATTTCAACTTCAGGGGCCTCAGTGTCATCTATAAATGGGGGCAGTCATCTCTCAGTTTTCCAATACTGTTGTTTCCACTTTGAGAAACCAGCCCTCAGTGTGTGTGTAGTGGGCAGGGAGGCAGGTACCAGGGGCCTGTGTCCAAGTCTCAGCAACACAGACTTGTCTTTGGGTGTCCATCTCCCTTTCTTTCAATAAGGACAGCCACACCTGCTGTGTCCCCAACTCTGAGAGAGGCCATGAGTGGGAAGGGGTTTTGTGAGTTCAAGAAGGCTGAACAGAGCCCTGCTGGGCCCACACCAGCCTCCAGACTACATGGGGACAAATGGAAAAGCAGGTGCAGACCAGCTCCCTGTCACCTTCAGGTCAGAGGACAGCCCACTCTGACCTCTCTTCTCTTCTGCCTGAGCAGACATGCCAGGAATCTGACTCAAGCCACAGATGCCTCCACAGGAAAACACACACCCCCACTAGGTGTGATACCTGCTTCTGGGACAGTAGGGGGCCCACAAGGCCTAAAGGCGCTAACTTGCTCTTTCCCCCTTAGCTACCACAGGTCACCCTTCCCAGCCAGCTAAGCATCACCTGTGCTCAGCTCAAATTCACTCTGTACTGATGCGTGAGCTCCTGACCAAATCTTGGGTCCCACCATCCAACACAGTTGTGGCCGGGGTCAGAAATGGGAGTGGAGGGACAGAAGGATGGACACAGGAGTGGTTCCTGGTGCTCCCTGGGCCACCCTCTGAGGAGGGCCAAGTCTTAATGGGGCTGTCACACTTCAATCCTGCTTTCCCCCATGTCTTTCATACTCTGTCACCAAAAATGACCCCTACCGGGAACAGAACTCTGTGTTGCAAAGGTGGAGCTCTGGGGTGAGGCTGTGTCCACCCACTGAGACCAGAGACCCTCGGGGCAGGAAGGCAGGCAGCGACTCCCCCTCAAATTGGGTCCGCAGTGTGGGCACCCATCTCCTCTCTGACCCTGAGAGCCTTCGTAGGAACACAGTACCCAAAGAAGAAAAACTACAGGAAGCTCAGATGACCTTATAAGTCATTTTCCTTTATTTTCTTAACATAGAATGAACTTCCGATTCCAAAGAGACACAGAGGCAGAGCGGACAGATGCGGGGTCCGGCAGGCAGCAGTCAGAACCAGACAGGAAGTGGGCCTGACACCCTCCCCTCCAGCACACCCCTCGCCCCTCCTGGCTTCTGACCCCTGCCCAGACAGAAACCGAGTAGCTGGGAATAAGAGGGGCCAGTCTCCCGGTCCAGGGAGTAGCCAGAGACATGGCCTCGGTTGCTAGGCCTGGCCAAGTCATTATCTAGCTGTGGGACCTTGGACCTCAGTTTCCTTATCTGTTAAATGAGCTAGAAGTCCCTGCTAGGGAATGATGGAGAAGAGAGTGTGTAGATGTTATGATGTATCGGTGACCAGTTAGGGTTACCTGGTTGTCCTGCTGCTTTCAGATAATCTGCAGATGGAGTCACTTTGGTTTTGTCACCATCATGGCTACAGGCTTACTGGGGGACCTGCTCTGGCCCCAATGGGATTGGACAGACCATGGAGACAACTGCTCCCAAAGCAGACTCTCTCCTCTGAGACAGTCCTGGGGTGGTGTTGGGAGCTACATCATCAGGCCAAAGACAACTATCCCCCCAGGTAAACGAGAAGGGAAGCCTGTGGCTTGGGGTCACATAGCAAGCCTGTGCAGGTCACCCAGCTGCCCCAAATGCCTCCAACCAGGAGTTCAGCAGTAAGTGGGGGAATCTGCTCCTTCCCGCCCCTAGCATCAGCTAGGAGCTTGGAAAACCCCCTCAGCGTCCAGCAAGGGCCATGTGCCTCCATGGGCTGATCCGCATCATGGTCCCCTGGCCTCGGGCTTGGGGCTTCAGATAACCAACTTCCCTTTAATAAACACACACCTACATAAGCGTGACCTGTGTCTACACTGGCAGGAGGAAGCGGAGAACCACAGGACAATTAAGATGATGCAACAGTAGGTGGGCAAGGCCGACTAAAACCCTGTGAAGGAGCATGGGTATTGCTCCTTTGCGCTCCATCTGACGCCTTCCTGTGACAGCAGAACCCATCCCCGCTGCATAGGGGTCGGCCCTGCTCCCCCGCGGACAGGGACTTCTCATGCCCTGGGCCGTCTATTGGTCTACTGCTCTGAACCATGTATGCATATGTCCTTGTGTCCTTGTGTTTGCACAGGTATGTACTATAGCTCTCCCCTTGGGAAAGAACCAGGGCAAGTGGAAAAGCTGCTGGTCCATACTACACCTTCTAGAACCCACAGAGTATCTACACTTACAGAATGGAGAGGCCTTGGGCCCAGAGAGCTCTCCCTGTCCCTGCCACTCTACAGATGGGGTCACAGGGGCCCTAAGATATGGACGATCACAAGGTCATGCAGCAAGTCGCGGGGGGGGGGGCGGGCTGGAGGTCCAGCCAAACCACAGGAATGAAGCCAGTCTGCCACTTGCCCTATCATACACCTCCTGGGATCTCTTCCCCTTGGAGCACTCTCGGGGGTAGAGGGACTGTTCCAGAAGGAGGGCCACGCCCAAAGGCACAAGCAAACAGGGCGGTGCCCAAGAGACCTGTAGCAGGCGAGCCGTGGAGCACCTCTGGGATGAGGCGGACTTCCTGGCACACCTTCCCTCACACTCTGAGGGGACAGCTTAGCAGGGTGGGTCCCTCTCTTTCACCTCCTCCATGACTTCAAGGGAGTGAGTGATTGATAAATCTTGGTCCCCAGGAAGCCCAGAGGCCAGGAAACAGAGAAAGAGAAAGAAAATGATAGAAACAGTCCCGAACCAGGCTTGACCACGCAGTTCTGGAGGATCTTTGGGAAGCAACGTTGGCCAGCTTGTCAGAACGTCTGCAACAGGATTTTCCCCTCCCCGCCCTCTGCCCTCCCCTGCCCCGCCCCCACGTGGGTGCCCGGGCCGGGGCCTCTCTATTTGGGCTTCATCTCCACCCTCGAGTTGATGTCGTCGCCATCCAGGTCGTACTCCTCCACCTGGCCGCTGGTCCACACCTTCACGCGGTCCGTTAGGTCGCTGCTGCGCGGGGCCAGGATGAAGTCGTAGATGAGCACAGCCAGAGCTCCCCCGATGAACGGCCCCACCCAGAAAATCTAGGAACAAAGTGGACATGCTCAGGGGCTGTCCACCGACACCCTGGGCTCCTCCTCTCCAGGGACATCTGCCCTGAGAGGCACCCACCACCACCCCACGGCATGGGCTCCCTCCCCATCTGTGCCTGGATTTAGAGGTAGGCAGTGTCGAAGCCCAATGTCCTGATTCCAGGGCTTGCAGAACAGGCCCAAGACATCCACTATCCCAGGACGCTGCCAGTGGGCCTTTCCTTGCCTCCATGTGCCCCAGCTCGGGGTGCCTGGTGTGACTGGGCCAACCCTGTCCCACCCTCCCCAGTGTCAGAAGGGCCCCAGGAAGGTCTAGCTTGATAAACGGTGGCCTGAAACAGTCACATGGACAGGAGGAACAGCTCCATCTGCTGAGTGCTGACTCTGTGCTACACTCAACCTACAGGCGGCGAGGCCGTCGGTCCCAGAGGCCACCCTGGGAGTTAAGTAGGGTTCATGACACCCCACTTCACTGCTCAGAGAATAACAGCTTGCCTGTGTCGCACTGAATGGGAAAAGGGTAGGGCCATGATTGGGTCTGGCTCCTCATCACGCTGCTGGGGCGCTGCACCCCACCACCCCCATGTCAAGCCTCACTTTCCCGATTTCCTCAGCCCTTTCAGTCTCCCAGAGCCTCCGTGATGAGAGGATGCCACAGTGTGGAGCTGGGACCATCACTCAGCACCAAAACCTCCCGCCTCCCCCTGGGGATAGCCCTGCGACCCCTTACCCAGTGGTCCTTGAAGTTGTGTGTGATCACAGAGGAGCCGAAGGACCGGGCGGGGTTGATGCCACAGCCTGTGTAGTCGATCTGAGAGGGGCAAGGTGGGAGGCAGAAGGGGGAGATCCAGAGAAGTAGAGACAGAGGGAGAGGGGACATCGTGACACACAGAGAGAGAATAGGTGATAATCAGACCCAGAAAAACAGGGGCACGCTGACCCAGAAAGATGGTCAGGAGGTCCCCATGCTGCCCTCTCAGAGCAAGACCCTGGCCCCAGTGTCCTACCCATGACAGGGTACCCCAACCGCCCTGCCTGGCCCTGTTCTCCCCATTCCCAGCTGGGGAGGCCCCACACTCACCGCCAGCAGGTGTCCCAGGGCCACAGAGAGGCCAATGGCAAGAGGTCCCGAACCCCCGAGGTCCCGGCGCCTCCTATCTGTGGTGGCGAGCACACACAGCACGAGCTGCAGGGTGCCGATGATCTCGATGCCCAAGCCCTGACCAGAGTTCACGCCAGGGGCCAGCTGTCAGGAAGAGGGACAGCAAGGTTCGTTGAGCAGACAAGGTGGGGACTGTGTCCTAGAGCCCCCCCCCCCGGGCCCAGGCACCTCTGTGTCCTTAGAGCCCATCACAACCCCCCCTGCTGGGCCCAGTGTGGTGGGGGGCCAGTCCCCACCCCAGCACACAGCATGGGTAGTGGACAACAGGCTTTGTTCCTCCCATAGCATTGAGGAGTTGCCAGCCCGGCCCCTGGTACCTGCCTCCACCCTCTGTGCTCTGCCTGGAGGCTGGAGAAGCCTGGGAGGGAGCCCAGCCTCTGCCTCCGGCCCAGCCAGCAAGGGCATCCTGGGGTACCTGAGTACCCGGGGGGAGGGGCAAGTCCCACATGTGGGAAGGCCCACCTGGACACACGGCTTCACACCCCACAATTCCAGAATATTCCACCCCATTCCCTGCTGCGTCTAAAACTCCCAAAGCTGGGGAGGGTCTTCGTTGGTTAGCCAGCCCCACTCCCTTAGTTTCTCTCCTTGAGGCTGTCTCCCTTGCTCCCCCACCCTCTGTCTCCTACCCCACCTTGTCTGTCTCTCCCTTTTCTTCTCTGCCTTCCCTGTTTTCCCCTCTCTCCTGGACCAGCCCCCCCCCCCAATCTCCCTGGCTGCATAGGCCCCGCCACCACCGTCTGGCTGCCACTTGCTCTTGGGCTGCTTTTAGAAACATGACTCATGGAAAAAGAAGGGAATGGGAGCTGCCATGAGGTCATCAGAGCCCTCCCCCTGCAGCTGCACCAGGAAGACCCCTTCCCAGGGATCCCCCACACCCTCCCCTTTGTGGGGGTCCCAGGGGTCAGGTGCACCCACACAGGGGAGCTGAGCCGCATGGACAAAGGCCCACTGGCAGAGACACCCAGATGTGGCCATGCCGTCTGCTTCCTCCAGGTAGAGCTGGTGTGTCCAAATAAGCCTGAACTTGAAGTCTCATCCTGGAGACGAAGGGAGAGGGGGTGGTCCTCCAAAGCCAAGGGGCATTTTATAAAACCCTAGGTGGGGGGCTCTCCTCCATCCCCCTAACCCCTGAGTTTTCTCAGCCCCACCCTGAGGCCATCTTACAAGAACAATTCTCTTCCCGCCTTTGTCTGCAGTCCTGGGTCACAGGGAAAGTGACTCACATCCCCTCCCCTGTGCTGCAGCCCCAGCTCTAGGCTTTTCCTGGCGGACCCCAGAACTGTGACCCCTCAGCCCAGCCAGCCATCTGGACAATGCCCAGTTTTCTTTCCATTCCTAGGTTGGGTGGTAGAGGCAGAAGCCCTGTGTTCAGGTCCTGACTCTCCCCCTTGCTGGTGCCATGGCCATGGCCTTTCTCCAGTCTGATCCTCAGTTTCCCTATCTGTAAAATAGCTTTCCCTGCCCACTTTCCAGAGTGGCTGGAGTTTCTAAGGCAATGCGGTGGGGAGGGTCTCGGGGCATTTGGGAAGGGCTGCAGAGGCAGGAGGGACCGGGACAGCTGTGGCTTTTTTCTTATTCTTTCTCACCTTATCTGCTGGACTGAGGGACAGGTGGAAGGGGAAGGGCCCTGCATAGGATTGTGGAGACAAGAGTGAGGCCTGTCAGGAGCCGTAATGAGCTCCATGGAGGTGAGGCCCATGAGACCAGGCCGACTTGCAGAAATGCCTATCCCCACTCACGCCTGCTGCTGCCCTCCTGACAGTCTTCAGGAAGCCCAAGGCTCCTCTTCCTGCTCTCTCCTTGGCTCTCCAGGCTCAGCCTAATTATTAGCTGGCAGGAGTCCGGAAACCAGGGCTGGCACGCCGATTAATGGAGCCATCGTTCTAAGTGGCTTCTGCCTCCTAGCCTCCCCCATCCCCACCCTCTCACAGACATGGCCTGGGCAAGCTCATCTCCTCCCCCAATTCTTAACCAGGTCTGAGTACCCCAGCCCCTGCTCAGCCCATAGGCACAGGTACTCATGCAAAATGAGCAGAGCCAGGGGCCCAGGGCCATGCCCAGCTCTCTGAGTCTACGGGAAGTGGAGGGGGTGGCCACCTGCCCTGGGAACTCTGCGTTATACCCCCTTTCCTGACCACCCAGAGCCTTAGCTCAAACCGCATGGGTTGATGAACTTCTTCTCCCAATAGCCATCACAACCAGCACCACCAGGAAGCCTCCCCTGATTGCTTAAGCGTCTGCTGACCACTTCTCCTTTGACTACCAGCACACGTGTGTGACTTACATTGGGCAAAACTTGATAATTCAGTACTGAAAGGGAGGGATTGTTAAAGGTCTGCTGAAAGTGGATGTCCAGAAGAAAGCAGGTAAAAACTCAAAATAATGTTATTGTTTACAACCCATTAAATCAGAAACAATTGCTTCAATAGGGCTGATCTCAGTTGTGGTCCCTTGGTATTGGAAAAAAAAAATGTTCGCACGTTCCCAGGGAGTTTTGCCCAGCTTAGTCTTATATGCCACTGATTAAGTCTCCTTCAAAACAACAACAACAACAACAACAACAACAACATTAGTTTTATGAATATAAGTTTGAACAACAGAATAAGACCCACATTGAATCTGAAGTATCAGAAAGAAGCAAGCTCTCCATTTTCACATCAAATCCAGGTAAGTCCCCTCAAGGCCCAGCTCAGACCCCACAGACTCCACTTCTGTGGCTGTGCCATCAGGCTCTCACTGAACCGCCTGCAACTCTTGCCGGGAAGTAACCTTCCAGCCTCCTCTGTGGATGCCTCAAACCCCTGGCCTGGGAGCTTGGTGAGGACGGAGTGGGGAGACCTTCTCTTCTTACTGCCTGGACCTCAGAGGAGACACTTGCCGTATAGTGAGAGAAGCAGCAGAGAATGCTAATTTTTTAGAACTCCCACCCTCTCTAGAGGCAGCCTGGCTCCAGGGAAGCTCTCTGGATTTAGGGCCGATTTACCTGCTTTTTGGCTGGGACACCAGAGGCCAGTCATTAGTTTTTGTGGGTCTTACGGGGAGGCCCGCACAAGCCTCTGTGAGGTAATGGATGAGGGAGCTGAGACCCAGGGAGGAGAGAGCAAAGCCATCTCATCCCAGCCAAGGATCCTGACTATCTACAGGTCCAGCCAAGGGACCTGGCTGTTTCCAGCTTGGACCGAGGAGCGGGTGGAAGATGGGTCTATAGCGGTCAGTGTGACCCAGGCCCCAGGACGGTGGGAGAGGGAGAGCGTATGGGACTGAGCTCTCAAGACAGCGGGCCTCAACCCATCCCTGCTGCCCATGGACAGAATGACCAAGGTCGCTGCCTAGGCCCAGGGCCCCAACTCGACCTGGACGCCCTGGTGACTCATCCTTGGAAAACAGCAGGTTCCTAAACGGGCCTGGCTGAGCATCCAGTCTTGAAAAACAGGGGAGGGGAGACTTCGAGGCCTGCCCTATTTGCCCACTGCTCCAGGACTCAGCACTCACAGTCAGGGGGACCTCAGTGGGTCCCTTGTGTCACTCCTTGATGGGTATTCCTGTGTGCATGTCCCTCCAGGTAAACAACGCTTTGTGTGCCTCTGTGTATCTTTATAGGCTGGTGTCTGCAGGATCTAGGGGTGACTGTATGTGTCCGGGTGTGACTCTTTCCTTTTCTTTTTCATTAGATATTAAGAGGCTTATTACATCGTAATTGAATGACAAGTCTATCAAAGAGCTACATAAATTCGAAACCTGTATGCGCCAAACAAGATAGCCTAGAAAAAAATGACAACGGACAGAACTGTAAGGTGAATTTGGTCACTCAGCCACCAGAGTGGGAGAGTTTACCAGCCCTCTCTCAGAAATGGAGAGACTAAAGCAGTCAGACACTATAAATAGCAGCAACGGGAAGGATTTGAGCCTCATAATTAACAAGCTCGATTTAAGGAAAATGCATAAAGCCCTGCACCCCAAATTTGAGAATATCCCCTCACTTTCAGCCCCCATGTGGACGCGCAGACCAGCTGGTCCTGTGTTAGCCCGGGTGTCCCAGCTGTCTCTGAGAATCTCGATCACACACGAGCCATCTCTTGCCACGGGAGGGCTCTGTGTGTCTGGGGGGGTCTCTCTGTGGCACATGGCCCTGCATGACCGTGCTGGGCATCTGGTGGAACTTTTGAGTGTGCCATCCTGTCCCCTGGCAGCAGAAGTGCCACCACTAGCTAGGGACAGGGGTCGAGAAGGGAAGGAGGCCCCCATGAGGGACAGAGTGAGCAGTGGATTTCAGAGGGTCCTTATTTGCTCCCAGAAGCCACTTCATCTTCCTGACAAGAAACAATACACAAAACAATGGCTTCCTCCTTCCCTCCCTCCTTCTTTTCCTTACTCCAGGGCAGTCCCCACCCTCCTGCCGGGGAAAGGAAGAGGCTCATTGAGAAGCACTTATCCCACCCTCCTGGGATCCCAGGGCCTGAGTGGGACTGCCCAGGCTTGCAAATGTGCTCTACACCCACCTGTGTGTGCCTCCCCACCCCCGTGCTGTGTGTGTGTGTCTGTGTGTGTGTGTGTCAGTGAAGTGTGAGTATGTGCACTTTAGAGCAGCAGAAAGCACGAAGGGCCAGGAGGCAAGCTGGGGGCTCCCTCCTCCCCTGCCCTGATCAGCTACACAACCCAACAATCTCAATGCCTCTTTGGCCTCAGTTTCCTGATCAATAAAATGGAGGCACTGGCCCAGATGTTAGCCCCAGGATGCCTTCAGGTCTGACATGGAACCCCTCCCTGCCCCCAGAACCTGCAGTCACCCTCCTGGTCAGGATCGTCAGTGCAGGATTCCCACAGAGCCATCTGGACTGGGGTCTCAATAGGGACAAAGCCTGTTCCAGGATCTCCTTCCCAGAGCGGCCAGAAGCAGGCAGATTCTACCCGCAAGCCCTTATGGACTTATGGGGGCCTTATGGACTCAGGGGCAGCCCCATCCCAATTGTATCTGCCTCTCTATGGTCCCAGTGGTAGGATTTCAGGCACTGACAGGAGCTGCTGCTGGAAATAGGGCATTTTCCAGTCTTTTCTACCATCTATTGCGTTGGGGTTCTTAATGCCACTGGAGTGCAGCTCCTTGGTAACATGAAAATGGCCCTTCACTTAGCCCTGTATGCCACCAATGGGGGGGGGTCAAGGAGCCCCCCAGTTCCTGGGGAGATGCCCTGGCTGAGGGGACATTGACCATGACATTTTCCTGCCCACGCCTGCAGGCATGTTGACTCAGCCCCAGCTATTCAGGAGGCCCCAGACCCACTGGAGCTTCGAGAGGGCAGGGACCATGCCCCTCCCACTCCCCCCACTTCCCCACTTCCAGGGAGGCTCTGCCAACAAGAACGAGGGGCTCTTAGGGAAAGCCTTCCTGAGCCAGTCCCTACGGGGTGGATGTGGGACATGTCTGTCCAGCCTGGGGAAAGCCCTGGTGCTGGAGGAACCCCCACTGGGTGGGGCCCTAGAGAAAGTGGGGAGCACTCTGGGGCTGAACCCAGGTTGTGGGGAATTGGTCTGCAATGAAGTAAGGGCTCAAGACATGAGAAGGAGGCCGTGACCTGGGGGCCAGGAGGGAAGGCGAGTCCTCACAGACTGGGCTGCTCACGCAGGCTATGTCCCCTCTCACGGCCTCACCCCTTTCAGACAAGAAGTTGCCAGAGTGAGCCCTGGGTAAGGCCAGGCTTTGGGGTGGGCAGCATGGGCCTGGCAGGGCTGCTCCAAGGCCCTTCACAGGGAAAACCACCTCAGAATTTTCCGTGGTGAGGGAAGTCACCACAAAGCTCCCGCCTCTCTTCGCCCTCCCCCTCATCTGGTTCCGCCTGGAACCGGTAATTATAGGTCCCAGCTAGGGCACCTCCACCCAGCCCCCAGCCTCCTCTCTGGGCACGTCCATCTGAAAACTGGCTTCCTTTTCCCCAAGCCACCCCCAACTCTGAAGAAGGTGGAGGGACCCTCAACCCTGGAAGGACTCGTGGCCAGTGCGGGCGAGGGCGGCTAACAGGGAAAGGACAACCCTTTCACTCTGTGCTTAGGGAAACTGAGCCCAGGAAACTGGGGAAGGTGAGAGTTTAGGGCTGAGATCAGGCCCTGGATGGAGCAGACAGAGGCAGTCCCCCGGCAGTCAGGCCCAGAATCAGCAGGGCTGAGAGAAAGACCACACAGAGGAAAGGTTTGCCCTGCCTGAGCCCCTCGGGGGCTAAAATCCCAGGCCTCCAGTCCCCTCTCAGACACAGGCAGACACTAACCTCAATCCTGACCGTCCGCCCTCCAGAGCCCCAGCCTCCCACCAACCCCACCCTGCAACTCCCCGGCTCTGACTTCCCACTGCCACCTTGCCTGCGCTCATGCCCTTTCTCTGCCTGGAAGCCCTTTCCCTGTCTCCACATTCAGGCTCCCATGGCACTTCCTCCTTGAAGCCTTCCTGGTCCTCCCCACGGTTCAGAGGCAGAAATTCCCTTGCCGCCCTGACACATCTTATCACACCTGCCTCCTGCCCAGTATCACAAGCCGCTGTGCTGTGCGAAGGGCTTATCTTGCCCACCAGGGGCCTTGGTCTCCCAGGGTAGGGAGCTGGCTGCCAGCAGTCCCAGTGCAGTTTGCGGGGAGCATGGGTGAATGAGCTGGAGAGGGGAAGAATAAAAAGAGCCGGCTAACAGTCAGGACACCATGGTTCGGGAGCATCTTTCATTTTGCAGAGCCCAGACACGCCCTGTGTCTCTATTTCACAGATGGAAACTGGGGCCACACAGGCGAGACCGCTGGCATGAAGAATGGTAGTGTCTGGGTAGGGCAGGGCCAGATAAGGCCACCAACCCCTGACTCTGACACTCTCATTTTGGGCCAAAATTGGGGTTTGGCTCTTAGAACCAGCCAGGATCCTATAGGCGGGACAGAGGCCCATGGTCTCTCCAGGGTGTATCCCAAGCCCTGACTCAGTGAGAAGAAAGTTGCCCCCACTGTGCCCCCAGGGACACCCCCTGACTCACCCCAACCACTTCCTGCCACTTCTTTCCCTATTTTCCTTAGGAATCTCCATGCCAACAAAGGGCTCCACCTAGGTTTGGGCCAGGGTGGGGTCCAGGGCCCAAGGGGCTGCGGGAGCCTCCCTCAGAGCCTGGAGGAAAGAGTGTGTCACTCGCTGCATAGATGGCTCTCTGCCCCTCTTGAGGCATTGGGACCACCTGCCAGCTGCCTTCAGATCCCTTCAGATCCCAGGTTCAGGATCTGCAGGAGTCCCTGGGCGAGATGCTTTGTTTCTAGGCCCAGCACTTATACTTCTGAACCCCCAACTTCTACGGTGTAGACAGGACAGTTCCTGCATCCCACCACAACACTCAGTATCCCTATGTTCGGCGTGGCCCCCTCTTGGACTCGTCTTAGCCAGACCCTCCTGGGAATGGTGATAATAAACTCAAGTCCACAATGTAAGTTTGCTGGTAGTACAGGAGGTCCAAGAAATATCTAGAGACCTAGGTTCCCTCTTGGAGTCTCAGGGTCCTCAGCTCTAGGGCAACTCAACAAGTTAGCTGCAGACAGGACTTGAACCTGGTGTGCGTGCCTCCCAGACCCGGCTGGACCCCAGCCTGAGCCAGTCCCTTTTACTCCTCCATCAGCAACCTGCCCAGCCCAGGCATCCAGGTAACTCTGGAAAATGGAGGCCAGAGAAGGGAAAGGACACTGGAGCAGGGTGCAGCCAGATCATGACACCATAGCAGGTGGCTGCCCTCCCAGCCTCTACCTAAGATGCCCAAATCAGAGCACAAAGTTGGCCAACAGATGCCTGTCCCTCCTGTCCCTCGAGAAGGTAGGTCAAGATGGGGCAGGTCTGCAGAGATTCAACCCTTCCCCTTATGAAGACCTCCTTCCCCCCACCTCCCGCCATCAGACCCCACTGTGAACCTGACCCTACCTAGGGGCCACCCCCTCAGGCACCAGGCTCTGCCCTTCTGTAGAGACCGAGGCTTGGAGCAGTGCGGCCTGCCAGAGCTCCAGTCCCTTCCACCCACCTCGGCCACATCTTTCCCGACTAAAGTCTAAACTCCAGCCTGCAGGCTAATCTTCAATCTTGGGCTAAGCAGCAGTTGGCTCTGCAAGGGGGCCGGGTAGGGTGTCACTGTGACACCAGAAGTGCTAATCCCCCCGCGGCAAGGCTATGCCAGCTGCCCTCTGCACCAGACCTTACCAAGCCTCCCCCCAGCCGCAGCGCCAGGCTCTGAACTTTGGCTGGGAAGTAAGGGAACAATTGCTATCATCACCTGCCACCGTCTCTGAGGAGCCCTTGGCCACCTCCCTCGATGTCCCTACACTCGCCCGCCTGCCCTGCCCCGGCCAGCCTCCTTTCTGTAGATCCGATTCCTCCTCTGTGCTCCTTCGTCTCTCCCCTTCCCTGGGAAGGCACCCTCCAAGCCTTCCTCTGCCTCTCTCAGGCCAAATTTCCCCCTGCTGTGGCCCAAGCCTGGTCTGAGTTTGCACTTGGCCGAGGGGTTGGAAAAGCCCTGGTCTGCAACAGCAGGAAACTGCCGTCAACGGCCAGTTAGCAGGGCTAAGCAGCTGGGGAGGAATTCTTTACAGCAGCCTGCCCCGGACTCACCAACATCTGCTCACCATTAGAGCCCCCTGCCCAGACCCCACTAGAGCCAGGAGCAGTGGGCACACACAGGTACATGCTCACCCCCGCCTGCTTACAGCACAGCACGAACACTTGCAGACATGCTTCCAGATGCAGGCACACACGGGAACGCGCAGCTTACACAAGCCCAGAGACCCATGCCAACATCCACGTGCACACACTGTTCACACACACAAATACATGTGCCACACCTCACGGGGCCGGTGGCAGAGTGCAGATGGGAGGCCAGAGGTCCCCACCCAGCCGTCACCCCACACTGCAATCCAGGAAAGCCACCTGCCAACAGCCCAGACAAGGTTTTCTCTCTCCTTCCACCCCCAACTTGGTCTAATTCCTGGGGGCCAAGGAGTGGGGGGGGGGGCTTTCTCCTTGAAGGCGGTGTGTTTAGGCACCTGTGTGAATGCGGGACGGGCTGGGGACCCGTGGGGCCTCCCACCTGTGTCCTGCTCACTCTTGCTGACCCGGCGCAGATGCCCTGGGACTCCGGCTCAGGGTGGCTGGGGACAGTGGGCAGTATCTCCCCAGGGTCCAGGCTGTAGGAAGAGGGAGGTGGCCACCCCGGCAGGCTGAGGGGGGTCAAGAAACTACAGCTGAGAGGTGAGGAACTGCTGGCCCCAACCTTAGTTGGGGGACTAACCTCAGAGTTTAGTCCCTATAACAGAGGCCCACAGGGGACATTGGCAAGACGGCTGTTGTCTGGGTCTCAGCCTCCCACAGTGCCTGGCAGAAAATGGGCTCCATGCTGCAGGTGCAGCTGAGCTCCAGCCCCGAGTCCACATGACTGCCAGCCACCTAATGTCCTCTCTGCTCCTCAGTGTCCCCATCTGCACGATGGGTGGAAATTGAGACCCCAACCATCTCTGCTCCTCGCCAGAGCCCCAAGTGCCTGGGGCCACCCCGCTTACCTCATTTCGGCCGAGCGAATTGTCCGGCAGGGAGGAGGTGATGCCCGAGAGGATGGCGGTGGCCACGATGGCACCCACGCACTGGGCGACAATGTACATGACGGCCCGGAGGATGCTGATCTGACAGCTGAGCAGCAGCCCCAGCGTGACGGCCGGGTTGAGGTGGGCACCACTAATGTGGCCCACACTCTGGGCTAGTGTGGCGATGCTCAGCCCAAAGGCCAGGGACACCTTCACGTTATCCTGGGGCGCACCTGCTGTCTGGTTGTTCCTCAGCGGGTAGTTGAAGCCGAGAGCAGAACCAATGCTAATGAAGACGAAGAGGGTCATGGCCAGGAACTCGGCCACCACTGCCCTCCAGAAGAGCTTCTTCTTGAACTCGCTGGCCATGCTGGCAGGGGGCTTGGCTGGATACCACTGCCTGGTGCTCGACTCCCTCTGAGAGCTGAGCCACAGCCCGGGCTGGGCCTATTTATAGGGCCCCGAGTGGTTGTGGGGGGAGGAGAGGAGGGGGGAGCACAAAGGGAGGAAGGCCTCTCTTTGCTCCTGGCCCGCCCCATACTGCACGGGCCTCCTCTCGGCGATGGATGCAGACACAGCTCTGCTGTCGGCCTGCCAACTTTTTTCCCTCCCTCCTCTCCCCACTCCCTCCCTCTCTCCCTCCGCCCTCAGCCCTGCCCAGCTCCAGGAGGCAGGCAGGAGGCAGCCACTGCTCTAATAGGCTTTGGGAAATTCCTCCAAGCTGGCCCCACTCAGGGGGCCAGAGAAATTCAGGTGTCCCCGCCCTACGTGCAAAGCTCAGGGGGTGCCCATGGGCAGAGCCAGGAGCTCTGGGTGGGCGGGCTGGACTCAGCAGGTGGACATTGCCTTCCCTGGAGGCGGGGCACCATGAATCCTGCTTGCCCGGCATCCCCATCCCGCCCCACAGTGCGGTTAGTCTAGAGACAGGGGCCCAGGGGTCCCCAGGGCCATTCTGGGCCTCCTGCACCCCAGCCCAGGCCTGGCTGCTGGATGTCACTTTAGGGCCCCAGCACCACAGGCCAGGCCCAGCTAATGGAGGCACACAGACATCAGGAGGCACAGAGAGCTCATCTGTGGCCCACCCTGTACTCTGTGGTCAAGGGCAGGCCCGAGATAGGCAAGGACGTGGAAAGCACCCACTCTGGGAGGCCTCATGCTTCTGGAGCAATTTGAACTAATTTCAGGGCAGATGGAGAAAGTGGGGTCAGTTTAGACTTTTTCTCTCCAAAGCTGCATGCTGGCAGACCACAGGGGAGAGGACAGACATGGCAGGCTAGCCTGGAGACAGGAGGGCAAGAGGAGAGAAGGAGAGAAGTCCCAAGAGAAAGAGAGAGACAGAGACACAGCCTGAGAAGGGAAGAGAGAAGACAGACAGACAGCAGAAGACAGACGGACAGAATGAAAGAGGAAAAGGGAAAGCAGAATGCCCACAACAGTGGAAGTGAAAGAGAGATCTCAGGCCAGGCTGAGAGGGAGAGATAGCCAGGGAGCACAGAGGGTGGGGAGACAAACTGGAAAAAGAGGAGATAAGACTGGAACCAGAGGCAAGAAGCTAAAGGGGAAAGATGGGGGGAGGGGAGGGGAAGAGGCCACTCTGCAGAGCCCCATGGTCCAGCCTGTGCCATATCAGAGACCCCACAGCAGCGGTTTAGCTGTATAAGCAACTGGACTCCCACAGCCTGGAGCTCCTGCCAACCTGGGGAGGTCCCCCGCCTATGGGGAGGGGAAGAGCAGCCAGGCGGCGCCCTGGGGAGGTGGGCAGGGCCAAGCCTGGGAGGGAGGGGCCCTCTCTGGTTCTCTCCTTCCACCTCCTGCAGGCCCCTCCTCAGTCCTACACATGAGTGTTGGCTTCTCCCCATTTTACAGGAGGCAAACTGAGGCTCAGCAAGGGGAAGGGCAGCTCTAAATTCTGCCATGTGCCAAGGGCCAGGATGAGCGTGCAGGTCTCATGCCTCCTGTGTGTAGGCCATCCACGGATGACGATACCAGCGCCTATGGGCCGCCCTTTGGTCCACCTGTGGCACACATTACAGCCACCCTGGAGCAGGGATGAAGCGCCCAGGGAGCAGCCTGGGATTCGCTGGGAGCAGGAGGCCCACTGGGGGTAGGGGTGGGGGGCTGTGGTCACCGAAGTCCACCTGCATGCCCAGAGGTACGGGGTGGGGAATGCAAGGCTGGGGGTCAGCGCGGTGGCGGGTGGGTGCTGTGTGCTCTGAAAGCCCCAGCTGCTGGAAGTCCATCTGTGCCTTAGTAACCATCCAAGAGAGGGACCCAGCCCGACTGGGCCCCTTCCCAGAAGCCGCCACGCCTTTCCTCAAGGCAACCCTTGTTTGGCTCTCCTCACGCCCTGGCCCTGGACATCCACAGTGTCCTCCAGCCCCCTGAGCTTCCTGGACCCGACAGGGCCCACATCTGTCCCGGCCTTCCACCTGCTGCAGGGACGAGGGATGCTGGCAGGTACAAGGATTCCGCCTGGAGGCCTGGGGATGGCAGCAGGCCCACAAGGACCACTGGGCTCAGGCCAGTGTGGGGGTACAGCACCTCAGAGAAAAAAAGGACCCTCCCGTGACAGGGCCCACGGGCCAGGTCAGGACCCATGTAGCTGAGGACGCACAATGTGCTATGTGGGTGCGAGTCACGTGGGACATCCTAACTTGTCCACCAAATATTTATTTGGTGCATGCCATGTTCTTATCTTTGGGGAGACAACCACAAACCAGATAGCCTAGCTGCTTGTCCTCCTGCGGGCTCCGTGCGTGCACCCAGGCTGGCGGAGCTTGCAACTGTCACGGGCACAGCGGTGAGCGCGTACTTGCCAGAGGCCCACATCCTTCTGGAGCAGGGCTGGACCCAGGGGACCCAGAGGAGGCAAAACACTTTGGCCAGAGCAAATCAGCTACCCACCAATGTCAGGATGATGTGAGGGTCCTCAGGACAATACCTGGACACCCACTGTATCTCCAAACCCCGTCCCCATATTAGCACGGCTTCTTAAATGCTGCCCACTGTTCTGTTCTGTTCCTTTGGGCAAAGGCTCTGCCATCACCAGGAGACACCATCCAAAGGCAGACCTCTCTGGAATAAGGCCCACCTCACTCACCCACCATCTCCCACAATACCAAGGGATCTGTGTAGCCTCGGCCTGACAATTTCAATGTGAAAGGAAGAGGACTGCCACTGGAGCCCCAGATCCAGGAAGGCCACAAACCTCATGACCTTCTTCTCCCTGGTCTGCCACAAATTCTGGCCAAACAGGGAAGGAAGGGACGTGAGGAGAGAGGGAGGGAAGGAGGGAGAAAGGAAACAGTCCCTGGCTGACGGCTTGTCTTCACCACAACCCTGGAATGCTCCGAGGGTAAGTGATTTGCTAAAAGGTGGCAGAACTAGGATTAGAACTCAGGACTCCCTAATTCCCAGAACCCCAGTCTGGTTCTCTGCCAGCCTATCAAGGAAGGCTCCGATGGTCCGGTTTCCCAGATGGAATCCTGAGTTCTGATGGCCCAGTTACAAGAACAGGACTGAGGGATCCAGGCCCCAGGACGAGTAGGGGACGTGGGGGTAGTAATGAGAAGACCATCCCCGACTTCTCTGCATAATTGGGGTGGGGTGAGGGGCAGATGGGGAAGGAAGCATTGAGCTGAGAGTGGACACACAGGGAAGCCAGGGAAGGCCAGAGCTACGCCCTCACCCTGTGTAGTCCCACCGGCCCTGGGAGCTTGGACTCTGGGGCAGGGTGCCATCCTCTGACCAGCTCCTCCTCTAGGGTGACCTGACTCGGTGAGCAACGTGTCCCTCCCATGGCCAGTGTCATGGGCCCAGGCCTGATCCCACAGGCCTGAGCCAGGCTAAATAAGGTGGACCGCCCTCCCTCCCCAACTCCTGAGCCCTGGGCGGGGCCTGAAGCCACTCAGGCCGGGCACTGTCTGGCCCTCCCAGAGCAACGGTCTCAGAAAATGGTTTTCCAGATGTGCCTTATTCCTGATGTGCCCAGAGAGGCCCACTTTCCAGTCAGAGCTGGCTGTTCCCAGGACAATCTGGACTCTAGCCCCACCGATGCTGTGGGAGAACCTCAGGCTTTGTCCAGAGCTGGGTGCACAGATCCTCAGACGGATGTTAAGGTTCGGGACCTCAGGCTGTGTGGCGAGAAGATGCCCACGGGTGTGGCCAAGGCTGGCGCTCTCTTAACCCGAAGCTTCTTGGAGCACAGGACAGAGGGGCTGAGGGGAGTGGACCCTGTCTACTGGGCAGGGCAGGGATTTCCACCCACAGGCTGGGTTGTGGGAAACAATGACTTCACTCCCTCTGGGAGGCCCACCAGGAAGATGGAGTTTGAAGCGGAAGGGACCTCTGATAGCAGACGGGCTGTGACCATGCAGTCACCGTTGGCTTACCAGCAAGCTGGACAAATCTTCCAGAATCTTTAAGGCTGTCCTGAAGGGAGGCAGAGCACTAAAGGAGGCTGGGAAGATAGGACAAGGCCCCAGGGAGGGGGTGAAAAATAACAGAATGCTTTCTCCCAGAGAATCCCTCTGCCAGGGTGCTCTGCGCATCCCTCCCCTGACCTTGATCAAGGACCTGCCAGCCCGGCTCTTGGCTGCACAGATGGGGCCTGTCCCCCATGCCCCCCACCCTGCCACCACTGCCGGGGAGACATGGGCCGAGGAGGCATGGGCCTGTGAGGCTCAGCCAGCCCCCCACCCCTGAGCTTGAGGGAACAGAGAATGGACCAAGGTCCAGAGCACAGAAACCAAAAAACAGACAGAACGTCCCCCATGCTCCTCAGCCCAGTCCTCAAGGCACCCCACTCACCACCACCCCTTCCCAGCTCCAGACCGGGGCCCTGGTTCCTGTGCCCTCAGGCTCACTGTTCCCGGATATTTGCATGTACACTCTTCCCCTGCCAAGCACCTTCCTTCGTTGCCCTTCCCAGCCACACCACCACACCACCTCTCCTGACCCCATCCTCCATGGTGACTGTGGTGGTTAAGGCCAGGCACCCTCACCTCCAGAGCCGGTTTCTCACCCCCACCCATCCTCTAATGGCCTTGTATGGGTGAATGGGGTTCAAGAACAGGGCTTGCATCTTCTCCCTCCCCGTCCATTGCGCCCCCAGCAGAGCTGAGCTTGGTGCTGAGCATGAGGGTGGGGGTGGATAGGGAGACGATCCAGGAGGTGTCCAAGTCCCCTGAAAGACAGCACCCACCTCTCAAAGCCTGTGTCCCTGTCTGACAGAGGACTCCTGGCCTCTGGCCATTCAGGCATCACACAATCCCCCTGAATTCAAAACCGGATTTCGTGGGCCACCAGTAATTGTCCAAAGGCAGAACAACTCAGGAAACTTTCTAAGCTACTTCTCCTCTTGCCGCCTTCCCCCACCCCTGCCTTCCCCGAGCAGTATTGTGTGGCTCATTGTGTGTGTT